TGTGCGTGCTTGTGCGTGCTGTGTGTGCATGTGTGTGGCATGTGTGCGTGTGTGCATGTGTGTGGTACGTGTGCGTGTGTGCATGTGTGTGCTGTGTGTGCATGTGTGTGCACACGCACAGCTGTTTTGTTTTGCCACCTGTAATGACAAAGCAGCACCGAGGTGACAGTCAGGATGGGAGTGAAGACGTACACCTCCACGAGCCGTCTGCCGCCCTGGCCTTACGGGGGCTCTTTCTTAGGGTGTCTGCGAACCAAGCTGAGCAGAGCTGAGACCGTGGGGCGAAGCTGCTTTGGGGGGCGGCACCGGATCCTTGCGGAGAGCAGGCCAGAGAAGGGAGGCAGGAGACAGCCCAGGGAGGGGGAAGGGAGGCAGGAGACAGCCCAGGGAGGGGGACGGCAGGGAGGGAGGAACCCAGGCTGGGCTGGGGCAGGAGGAAGGGGTCTCAGATGTGTCCTCTATCAGGTCATGCCAGGTCCTCTGGGGACCAAGGTTGGCATCTCAAACAGACACGAGGGAAGATCCCTTAACAACCCACTGGGAGCGGCAACCGGAAAGGCCAAGTGCCCCACAGTCCCTCGGCCCCTTTGCCTGGATTTCTCCGCACTGAGAGCGCGAGCTCATCTGCACGCAAACTGTCACAGGCGTTGTCCCCTGCATGCTGCAGCCTGGCAGGAAGCGGTAGGGGGAGGCCGTCTTCCTCCAGGGAGGCCTTTGACAACAGCCGACCACCCGGGCAGAACCGGGGTCCTGGGAGAGGAGACCAGGCTCCCTCAGCGTCTGGGGTGCAGAAGCACAACCTGGGCCGTGCGGCAGGAGCTGCGCAGCAGGGCGGGCAATGCTTAGGGCCGCTGGCAGAGCGTAGCCGACTCTCCATCGAGACCCCTCCGTGCTCCTCACACCCTTCCTGCCCCGGAACCACGTCCTGTTCCCAGCACTTACTGTTCTCACCACTAGGAAGTTCCTCCTTGTATCTCACTTGAACTCCCTGCGAGGTCTCCTGGGGACTTGGAGCTCACTCTTCGAGCCCCAAGGCCATCACCAGCGAGGGGGACCGCACAGGGTCCTCGAGCTGGGAGCTAAGGACAGTGAGCTCTCGCGGGATTCTGCTTCCCAGGCAAGTTGCTGACTCAGGTTGAATTTATTTATTTCGCTCAAGAAACAGCTATGGGGCCCCGCGTGTGGCAGGTACTGTTCTAGGTGCTGGGGATCCGAGCACAATCCCCTCGCCTCTAGTCACCCCATTCGACGGACAATAAATGAGAAATCAAATAAACAAACCACGTCGCTTCAAAAAGCAATGAGAGGCCGGGCGCGGTGGCTCACGTCTGTAATCCTAGCTCTCTGGGAGGCCGAGGCGGGCGGATTGTTTGAGCTCAGGAGTTCGAGACCAGCCTGAGCAAGAGCAAGACCCTGTCTCTACTAAAAATAGAAAGAAATTAATCAGACAACTAAAAATATATAGAAAAAATTAGCCGGGCATGGTGGCACATGCCTGTAGTCCCAGCTACTCGGGAGACTGAGGCAGGAGGATCACCTGAGCCCAGGAGTTTGAGGTTGCTGTGAGCGAGGATGACGCCACGGCACTCTAGCCGGGGCAACACAGTGAGACTCTGTCTCAAAAAAAAAAAAGAAGCAATGAGACAGAGCATGAAAGGTGTAGGGAGGGCTTTGTCTCCGCAGCGAAGGCCTCCAGGAGACGACGTGTGTGCAGAGACGGAGGATAATGAGGACAAGGCCCGTGTGACATCTGGGGCGGGAGCCCTCCAGGAGGGAACAGCTGGCGCGAGTGCCCTGGGGTGGGAACCAGTGCAGTGTGTTTGAGGAAGAAAGTGTTTCGGGTTGAATCAGCGACCCAGCAGGGCCAGCTCACGTGGCATCTTACAAAGGAGCTTAGATTTTGTTCCAAGGGCAATGGGGAGACACTGGCAGGTGTTAAGCAAGGGGGTGGCATGCTTTGATGTTGGGAAAGATCATTCTGGTGGCTATGCGGAGAGCGGATCCGGAGAGGCGGGCTGGGAGGCAGGGAGACCACGTGGGTCCCTCGCATCAACCCAGCGAGAGAGGCGTGGGCTCGGCCAAGGCGGGCAGCAGCGGAGGCGGAGAGAAGTGGGCAGCTTTATAAAGTTTTGCAAGTAAGGTCTGCAACACTCAGATGGGAGGGGGGGAAATGCTAGCAACCAGGTAGAACTTGTGGCCTGAAATGGGAAGTTTCAAGGAGGGTCAGGTTTGGGGAGGAAAGGCCGTAGGTGGTCTTGGACGTGTTAAGTTTGCAGCGCCCATGGGGGACCCAAGTGGAGATGGCACGTTAGCAGGCAGCCGGAAGGTCCTAAATTCTGCAAAGGACACAGAGCTTGCCTTGAAGGAGCTTGTGGCGCAGCTAGTGGGAACCCAGAGGTGGTCGGACCTGCGCCGGTGCCCTGCTCCCCCCACTCTGCCCAAGGAGCCTCAAAACCCGAGTTTCATTAGAGAAGGAGTAAGCCCCACCCTCTCCAGACTCTGCGTTAGAATGAGCTTGGAAATCTCATGATTCCTGGAGACTGGACACTGAGCCACTGAGGAGAAGGGCAGAGTCTCACTCTAGGAATCATCTCAGACCTCTCTGACCGCAGAGGCCAAGACAGCGTTGAACAAGTTTTCTTAATCCCAAAGATTTGATCATTCTAAGCATTAGTGTGATTCCCCTCCGACAATTTTTAGAAGGTTCATCCTCTTCCATCTAGCCTTTTCCTACAGGTAAAAGAAACCTCTCTAAAATGAATATCAAGGTGGTATTATAGGAAAAAGGAGAAGACACTGAGAGAGGCACGTGGGCAGCAGGAGGGAGCTGGCGGCCACGCTGCCCCAGCACACGCCCCCTCCTGCTGTGTGCTGTGTCCGTGGCTCCATCTGCGCCGCGAACCAACAAGGGGGTCCCCTGATCCCCTTCCCACCCACTCCTTTCAGCCACCTGGACCTTGAAGCAACAAAGAAGCCCTCAAAGAGTTTAAATGTTCCTGTCTCCTAGGGCCATAGTATCACCCCAGAGCTGCCACGTGACTCCGAGGGAGGGAAGGGGCTCCCGGGCCTTCTGTCTCTTCATCGGCAAGCTCTGATGAGCTCTAGAACTATGCTACTCAATGCAGTGGCCACCAGCCATACATGGCCATTTACATTTGAGTTAATTATAATAAAATCAAATACATCTTTAAAAATTCTGGTCCTCAGTGGCTCCAGCCACATTGCATGTTCTCGGCAGCCACAGGTGGCTGGTGGCTACTGTTCGGGGCAGCACAAATAGAGGACGTCGCCACCATTAGACGGCTCTGACAGTGAGGCTTCAGAGCAGGGGTCCCCAGAATATGGTCCCTGCACCGGCAGCACCAGCATCACAGGGGAACACTTCAGAAATGCAGACCCTCAGGCCCCAGCCCAGACCTGCTGACCCAGAACGTCTGGGGTGGGGTTTCGGCAAACCTTCCAGGTGATTCCAATGCACGCTGAAGTCTGAAGGCCACAGCTCTAGTCTGAGATAACGGTCCCTCACGCTGTCTCACCTCATCGAGCCTCAGTGACCTTGCACTCGTCCTGCCTTTCTGGGGTTAGTGTGATCGGGACTCACTTCACAACTCGGGAAACAAAACCCAGAGATCACAACCCTGGAAAGTCCAGGGCTGGAATCCTGGAGTCTCCCCTAGACTCATCCTCTCCCCATCAGATTTCTCTAGGGTCATTCCAGATTGAAGAAAAAAAAAAAAAAGATACAATTCTGTCTGTCTGTGTCACCCCGGAACTCCAGTCCCCCTGAGGAGAGCCGGCCGGGTACTCAGGAAGACAGAATGATGGTGGTGGAAAGTCTCTCCAGTGCTCACTGGGTGGCTCCAGAATTCCTCGTGCACACGGCATGAAGTTCAAGCCCCCAGACCCGTTCCCATTTCACAGACGAGGACACTGAAGCCCAGAGGGGCGTGGCTTGCCCGTGCCCCGCCCTCCTTCCTGGCTGCGGGGACTCGGTCCAGGTGCAGAGAGCAGGGAGGTCAAGAGCTTACGCCTGAGACAGACTTAGACCCAGCGGAGCCTGGTTCCATTATGTACCAGCCGGTGACCTGGCCAAGCCACGCGGCTCTGGAGGCCTCCTCTTCCTCACGGGGGAGTCCGGACGACAGCGGTGCCGTCCTGCCGCGGGGATCAAATGAACCCACGCATGTCACGGTGCCTGACACGTCCTAAGCTCCCAAGACATTTTTTGTATTATTATGCCAGACACTAGGAGGCTGGCCTCATTTTTACATTCTTTTTCTTTTCAATAGAACCTGCCTTTTCTTTCTATTCATTGCTCCCGAGTTTTCCTGGAGCTCTTTGTCCCAGATTTCTCTTAGCATGTGAGCACCCGCCTGGGTTCTCCGAGCCTGTTTGGGAATCAAAGAGGCAGGGGTGGCCCCACAGGCGCGGTCGTCAAGAGTACTATTTGCGGGCCGGAGCGTCTACGGTTTCCTGGAAGCGGCCGCACACCTGGGTACATCTGATCACGACTTCGAGCGAGGAAAGAGCCTCCTCACACAGGGAAAGCCGGAGCAGGCGCCGGTGTGGGACAGGGTGTCACAGGGGTTCAGATCTAAGCAGCCCCGAGAGTTGCCCAGTCCCGGGTGGCCACCATTGGCCACATGATGCTGCACACGTGCTCGGTTACTCTGGCCTCTACTTTCCCATCTGGGAAAGGGAAGAACGATCTGCCTAGGCCCCCTGCCTTGAGCTGCAGGGATCTGAGGATGAATCTGGTCCTCCTCATTCTCGCCAACCTCTCACGGGGCGTGCTCTGGGGTTGTCCTGCGGCCGGGAAGGTAGGAGCCGCAGGCTCCCTTGGCTTCCCCCGCACCCCTCCCACTCCCCACTCGCAACCTCGCCCCCAGTCCTGCTGAGGCGCCTCCTCTCTTTAACTTGAATCTATTTTTTCTCTCTCTCTCTCTTCCCTCCCCCAAACACACACCCGGCCTTGCCCTCCCTCCTCCTGCTGCCGGCAGCGGTGGGCGTCCAGATGAAGCTGGAATTCCTCCGGCGCAAGTTCTGGGCGGCAACACGGCAGGTAGGCGTGACGCGGGGCCTGCTGGGGCTCGCCAACCCCCTCACCAGGGGCGGGTGCCCTCAGGGACCTCCTGCTCCTCCGGCCGCCCCACCGCCTCTCCCCTGCCACGCGCCCCAGTCAGCCGGGCAGTGCCACCCTCCGCCCTCCTGGATCCCCCTCTGCCTCAGCACCCCGCCGCACGCAGGGCCTCCCAGCCCGGGCCCAGCTGCAGGGGCAGCACGCGTGCCCTCTGGGCCTTGCCCGGCTGAGCCCATCCCGCCCACCTGCCCCCTCCACCTGGGCTGCCATGGGACTGTCCTTGACTGAGGCCTCCGCTGGCCGTGGACCTTCCCCTCCGCACCCCTGGAACCTGCGGACTTGGCTCTCCTGGGCCCAATCTGTCCCCACCGTCCTCCACAAGGCCCTCCAGCCCCGAGTCCTCCCTGCCGAGCCGCTGCTCTTCCCCATCCTCTCGGTGCTGTGTCCAGGCAGCGCAGGGGCCCCTGGAGTGAGGACAGGGGCAGGGGGGGTGAAGGGCACCCGGGCCACCCACCACACCAGCCAGATGACAAAGAAAGAACAGGAGCCTCCATGGAGGCTCATGGAGCCATCCCACGAGACCTCCCTGATGCGGCTGACACCCCTCGCCAGGAAAGGAGCCACGGGCTGTGGGTCAGGGCACCCCTGGAACAGGCTGACCCCACTAACCGTGACCTCGCGTGTGCAAACACACACGCGTACCACGCACGATGCGCTCTCACACACACCACACACGCCCTCCACCTACAGATACACACGCCACATGTATATACCGTGCACACATGCACACAAGGGTACCGTAAGCAACAGCCCCTCCCCACACGTCCACACGTCCACACAGATGCACCACACACACGTTCGCACGCTCACCGTGGCATATCCGCCGGGCGCGCTTGCACGCGGGCCTACAACTCACAGTTCCTCCTCCCCTTCCAGTGCGGCGCTGCGGCGGGGCCGTGCCCGAAGACCTGCGAGGACAGTGTGAGTTCTCCCCCTGTGAGGAGGGTGGGCGAGGGAACTGGGGCCCCTCAGCCGCGTCCTCTCAACGGCCAGCCGCCTCCTTCCCCGTGGCGCTGGGCTTTCGGAGGGCATCTGCATTCGACTGCGAGGCCTGCCTTCCGGAACTGTCGGGACAGGCAGGAGGAACGACGGGCCAGTGGTGGCAGGACCCTGGCGTGACCTCCCCTCCGGGTCTCTTCCCCAGGACCTGGACTGCTTCGTCATCGACAACAACGGGTTCATTCTGATCTCCGAGAGGGCCCACGAGGTAAGCCGTGGGAGAAGCAGAACCGGGGAGAAAGGGCGACACCGGGGAGACCAGGCCTACAGCGCGGCTGGGGCCAAAGGCAGGGCGAAGGGCCCTGGGGGGCGGGGCCTGGCTTAGAGCCGCTTCGAGGGAAAGATGAAGAAAATGGCTTTCTTGAAACCAAAGTCAGCATAGCAAGATGACAAAACGTGGAGCACTTTTCAACTCAGACGGTCAGAGAAAAAATTACTTATTTATGGTATCTGTCACTAATCCAGCCTTCTCACGAGGTTAGGAGGGAACATGTCCCACCACACAGAAGTGAGGGGCAGCTCGGTGACACCACTTCTCAGGGCCAGCCGACCACACCGCACCCCTGTCCTCCCGGCTCTGCGGGGCCTCCTCCCAGGGGCCTGGGACCCCCTCCCCGCCGAGGGCCCAGAGGCCGGCCCTGCCCCTTTGTGTCTCCCTGTCTGGGCCTCCCTTAAGCAAGATTCTATTCTAGCCGCCAAGCCCGCCCCCCGTGTGCCGGGGGAGCCTGGGAAGGGACGCTGCTTGCTCATCCTGCTCTTCCCTCTGGCACACAGATATGTCCCCGGACCCACCGCGTGCTCAGAAAGGAAAAAGAGAAAGTCCGACAATAATTTTCTATTTGCTAAGCCCTAAACTGGGCCCCCAAATTGATCATTTACTTAGCCAGGAGTCAAACTAAAAGAGAAGCCTGTTCACACCTGGATCGAACCCAAATACCGTCACTTGAATTACTTCCCTGAAACCAGCCAGAAGCCCGCGCCGCAGTGGAGGGACGCAGCGTGGGGTTCAGTGCGCGCTGTGCCCCTCACTGGACGCGTGATCTGGGCACGCAGCTCCTCTCTCCTGCGCCCCAGTCTCCTCCTCTCGAAAGCTGGGGCGCCGGGCCACACGGTGGCCAGGTCGGCTCTCGCCTGAGATCGTAAGTGCCTGGTGTCGGCAGAGCTGTGGGGAACTGGCCGACACACACGAGGTCACGACCTTGCAAGGCAGCGGTCTGGCCCGACCGGAACAGGGCTTAGGGTCCGAGGAGGTCCGCACACAGCAGGAGCCAAAGCCAGAGCAGAGTATCAGAAGGAAACTTGGGAAAGAGGGCGACTGAGGAAGAAGGGACACGCATGGGTCATGGAAGGAATTCCCTGAGCATAGACTTTAAATGGCGCACTCACCGTGCTGCCCGCCTGTCCTCCTGGGAGGGGAGGAGAAGAGGGGGAGGCAGGGGCGATGAGCCACACTTGGCAGGACTCTCACTGCCACCCAGCTGCTCGCCAGGCCACCTGGCACCGGCCTCTGCTTCCCCCTTCTCCCTTTCATGCCCCCTTTGACCGTCCTGCTCTCCCATTTTAGTACTTCTCAATTGCTCCGGGGTGACAGAAGTTGAAACCAGCAGCTGGCACAGGCTTTGGGACTATCCGATGCCCTTATCGTTCGTGCTCTGGGTAACTGAGACCGACCGAGTCTCCAGGCCCCTGTGGTGTTGGCTTTCAAGGGCCGCAGGACAGGCCCTGGGCCTCAGGAGTCTCAGGGCGCAGAAGCCTTGGACATAGGGAGAGGACGGCCAAGTCCCAGAGACTGAGCCCTAGAGCAGGGCTGGCGAACCTCTCCCAGAAAGGGCAGATGGCACGCATTTCCCAGTCCTTTGTGAAACGAAGCCGGGTCTAAATGAACCGACCTTCTCGAGGTTCCTGCCAGGGCCCCAAGCTCCTGCCACACGTGGCTCACCCTTACCACCCCACAGCGGGGGCCGAGAAGTGGGGAGGGCCTCCCCGCAATCATCTGCTGTGACGTTATTAGTCTTCATTTTACAGCAGATAGAAAAATGAGGCCCCGCAAGGTTAGGTTATCAACCCCAAAACGCGCAGCTACGGAAAAGTCAGACTTCAAACCTAGAAATGCAAATGAAGAGCAGTGATGGGAGGGGGAGGGAAGTTCTAGAAAAGACCTGGGGTAAGGGAAACTGAGCTAAGAGAGCAGCGGTCTCGATGGGACTTGGGCATTTGCAGGGCAGGGCTGGTGACGCCAGGGAGATGGCAGGTGTGACAGGCCAAAAGTCCCTGCCTCCAGGCTCTTTATGCTCTTGCCCCTGAGCCCCACCTGGTCACCCTGTCACTGCTCAGAGCAAAGTTCATTCACTTGCCGCGGCCAGCTGAGTCTTGTGGAATTAGGACCAATATGTCCGGGACTCTGAAAGGCAAGGCCCGGCAGTCCCGACCCCTGGGCCAAGCTCCAAGACTAGTGTCAAGGCTCCGGGGGTGGCTGTACCTTGACAGGGCCCAGTTCCTCTCTCCTCACTCTGGACAACTCTGTCCCCGGGACCTGAGCTGTGTCAGATTATGAGAGGACACTGGGGGGACAAGCCCAGGCCAGGGACCCCACCGGGCGTGATGCCGCTGGACGCTGAGTGGAGAGCTGGACTGGCCTAAGAGTGAGGCCTGGCGTAGCGGGCACTGACCTGCGGGGTGAGCGGCAGGAGGAGGGTGGGAGGCCGGTGCTGCTGCGTGTCCGGCTGTCTGTCCATCTGCCCGTGCCTCCATTTCTGCTGTTTTGCTAAAACTCATTCATTCGACAACGCTGTAGCAGTTATCTACTGCTGCATAACAAATTACCCCAAAAGCAGTGGCTGAAAACCACAAGATCCACTACCTCAGGCTCTGTGGAGAAGGGATCCGGGCAGGGCTTAGCTGGGCGCCGCTGGCTCAGGGTCTCACACGAGGCGCGATGGAGGCGTCTGCGGCGCTGCAGGCGTGTCAGGGCCTGACTGGGGAAGGATCCATGTCCAGGTTCACTCACGTGGTTGCTGGCAGGACGCAGTTCCTCCAGGGCTGTTAGACTGAAACCACCTCGCTTCCTTGCCCTGTGGGCTTCTCCTAGGGCAGCCCACAGCACCGCAGCTCCTGTCATTAGGGTGAGCGAGCCCAGGCACTGTCCCGGTCTTTTGAAACCTGATCTCGGAAGAGATACCCCATCACTTCTCCCATGGTCTAGAAGCAAGTTGCTAGGTCCAACCTACACTCAAAGCGGGGGACTTACACAGGCCAGGACCATTGAGAACCATCTCAGAACCTGCCCACCACCACCTCCCACCCACTCACCCAAACACACACTAGTGCAATCCAGGGCCGCTGGACCTGGCCACCCCCGCTCCTCCCGGGGCCTCAGGGGCACTGGAAGACGGGAGCCTCAGGCTCTGGGAGCTTGTTAGCGATGCAGAGTCTCCGAGGTCCCACCCAGACCTAGCGATTCAGAAACTCTAGGGGTGGGGCCCAGCCATGCGCGCGTTGACGTGCCCTCCAGATGGTTCAGAACCATCGCCCCGGCCTCACTGACAGTTGCTGTCCCTCTGCAGGCACTGTAGCTGGCTGCTCCTGCTGTCCTGACTGGGCAAACGTGCCAGAAGCTTCTGGTAACTGCTTGTCTCTCCAGGTCCATTTGGGGGCCTGGAGAGAGAAGCCTGTTGAGCTCCAGATGCAAAGGTTCTTCCCAAAGTCCTTCCAAGCCCTTCCTCACCCAGGCCCTCCTCCACTGCACAGCGTGAGGCCAGAAGGCCCAGGGCACGCACCGCAGCCTGCCCGAGGACCTGCTGGTGAGACTTTGGCCCCACTGGGCCTCTCTTCCAGCTCAGGCTCATTCTTACGACAAAGAACTATGAGTGACAGCATTGCAGCCCTCAGTCTGGGGCCTGGAAAGAGAAGCAGACAGCTGGGGCCAGGAGAGTGACAACAGCTCTGCGGAGCTTTGCAGTGTTTGCAGTGGATCTGTCACCCAGGATCTGAGCACTCCAATTACTCATTTGCTTGTGGGCAGCACCCACCCATGGGAGCTTCAAAATGGACCTCAAGGGGCAGCAAAGCCGAGAAAATCAGAAGCTCCATCCCGGCATCTTTCTCTTGAGGGACTTGGATCTCTCAGAGACACCCTACCCTACCCGCCCCAGCCCAGCAAGCCGGGGCTGGGCAGGCCCTCAGAGCAGGGGACCCTTTCTGCCATCAGGGGCATCAGATGTGCCTGTCTGGGCCTCAGCTCTGTTTCTCTGGGCTCCCCCTCCATCCCCTGCTCTGCTCTTGTCCTCAAGGCACTCCCCGAAGCCTGGCCTGGCACTTGCTCCAGACCTCCCCTCTCCCCCTAGCCTGGTCAGTCCTGGCAGCAGCTCTCCCTCTGCCTTCCTGGCTTCCCAAGTGGCCCTGCCCCATTGGGCCCTCCAGGAGTAAAATTCTCCGCTCATCAGAACCCTGAGACCTCCCCTATCGGCAGAGGCAGGCTCTCCAGGTGGCTTTCCCAGTGCAGTGCTGGCCCCAACTCCTCTGCCCTCTGTGTGGCCAGAGGCACTTGTCAAGAAACTCTGCAGCCCGGAGCCAGGCGAGGCTGTTGGAACTAGGAAGGGATGAAAGGAAATTGATCCCCACTAGGAGCCAGGCAGTGACTTCACTGCTGTGACTCATGGAACCCTCACACCCTTAAGAAGCTGAGTGTTCCCGTTTGTAGAGAGGAAACTGAAGCTGTCCCTAGGTGAGGAGGCAGTGTGAGGTCTGCTCCGTCTGCTACCAGAGTCAAGAGCACCCCTGTTTTCTGGGGACAGGGGAAGTTTGCAGCAGCAACCTCACGTGGCCATGCAAATTAGCCAGGGGGCGACTGCCTGACCTCTGGGCTCTGCCTGTGCTCCCATCTGCTCCCTCCAGGCTCCGCCTCGCAGATCTGCCTCTCTCCCAGCCGCCCGGCTCAGCGGACGTGGACTCAGGGAGCCCCGGGCCCTTCTGTCCAGCCCCAGGGCTCAGGGAGCCCAGGACCGTTGCTTATTTTATGCGGGGCGCCGTGGGCAGTCAGGGCCCTACACAGAGGTGCGCTGTGAGTGCCGCTCCCCGTGCGGTCCGGGGGTCCTGAATTGACAAGGCGCCCATATCTGAGGCAGGGATTCACTCGGACAAAGTCCCAAGGAAACTCCATCTGCTAGGCATTGCGCTCTAGCGCCAGTAAGAGTCTCCGCCACAGTGGCT